GGATCCTTGGCAGGGTCACTCTTTGGGGCGTTTCTGTACGATTTCATGATCTTTACGGGGGGAGAAAGCCCTATCAATTATAGCCTTGCAAGAACGCAGAGGGCGATGCGAAAGAGTAGGGCGAAGTGGAAGAGGAGGCTGCATTTGGGAGGGGAGAAGACGGTTGTACAGTAGGGGAGAGTCAATCATGCATAGAAAGGTAGATAGACCTGAACACAACATCAAATATGTACATAGTTCTAACGAGGACTACCGCGTCAAGAATAATCTATCAGGCTTATACTGCGTCATCAGCTCATCAGTGACCATTTCCCCTCCACCGTTTTCGACTTTCCTTCGGTTGTCATGCATCCCAGAGGTCATATCATCATCACTTCTCACATGACACTATATACACCACCATATACTAACTGAATGAATCGAATCTATTCAGAATCAGACATCAGAGGCCTTTTCAGCCCCATTCTCATCCCTCTCACTCGTCTCCTCCGGATCCCACGTCGACTCACGCATGAACGGACTTCTCCTCCGAATCTGCGGTCCCTTAAGCACCAGAACCACAGGCACAAGCGAGAGAGCAGCGCCAATAAACCCCAGTAATGAACCAGCCCACCCAAAACCGAGATTACTAAACAACTGCGGCGACGCAAGCGGGAGGAACGCTCCGAACGAGTTTCGCCCCAACGACGCAGCAGACAATGCCGACGCAGCGTATTTCTCATATGCATCAGTCAGGTAGTTAACGACACCCATGTAAATCGCGTAAATGCCAATCCCAGCAGCTGTGATTCCAATCGTGGGAACGATCCAGTGGACGTCGGGCTGGCTAGCCCAGCCGTACCAGAACAGTCCGGCGGTGAAGAGTAGACTACCGGGGATGGAAGTGTACAGCCTTGCTTCTGGGATAGGACGACCGGGTCTCTCTGTGTTTCTTTTCGCGGAACGTAGGTATAGCCAGTCCTGGAAGGGATTGATGGCGGTGGCGATAACGGCGCCGACGGAGATGGCTAGCTGGACCAGACCAGTAGCCAATACGCCCCAGCCGTAGTTGGTGCTGTATGTCTGGACCACGCTAGAGAAGAACAGGTACAAGATCCCCCAGGCGAAACTAATCCACAGGGTGAAGAACTGGACGACTGGCTCGGAGATTAACATTCGTGCAGGCCGGCCGAAGGAGATTTTGAGGAGACGCATGGTACTCGGGGCGTTCAGCTCGGACGCTGCGTAGACGTGCCGTCCGGTCTCTTTGCGGATTTTGCGGGCTCGACGTTTAAGAATCACGTCTGGGCGGGTCTCACGGAGGATGAGCCAGAAGACGGGGATGAGGGCGGCGTTGTAGATGATCTGGACGTAGAAGATCCTGTTGCTATCATTAGAGGTTGTCTGTCAATAAAACCTGTGGTCACTTACCATCTCCACGGGTCATTCCTCTTAATTTGCACAATTGCTGAGCCAATAAACGGACCCAGGGCAATTCCGATCACACTTGTAAACCCGAACAGAGACATGGGCAGACTGCGGGCTTTGCCGCCCTTCCACACATCGCTGATACTCCCTCCGACGATATTGATCGAGACAGACGACGCTCCACCACCAAAGAAGCGAGTGACTACAATTGTAGCAAAATTGTGTGCGAAGGCAGATCCGAATAGAGTAGCGACCAGGATAATGTATGAAACGAAGTAGCCAGGCATGCGACCGGAGGATTCGGTGAGAGGCACGAAGATTAAAGGCCAGAAAGCCGCACCCATGTTCCAAGAAGTCGTAGCCCAATAAAGATTGGGAAAAGGAGAGTTCTGGACATGCCATTCGTTTTCCATCCAGTTATTCCCGGATCCATACGTTCCGGCAGGCAGACCGGTCAGGATGGAACTATACAGTCAGCTCTTGCCCATCTGTCTGGAGTCAAGCACAATTGAACTCACATGAAGCACACCGTCAAGGTAAGTAGCCATTTGTACTTGGTACTCCAATTGAATCTAAAGTCTCTTAGTTAACATTTCTTGACGCGCCTTCTCACTTACGGATTCTCAGGATCATCAGGCCCATCCCAAGTGTGAATCTCGATATCTGTGCTATCCCGTATCTCTCCACTGATGTCCTCAATGTCAAAATATCCTTTGATTCTGAGTATAGTCAGTATCTTAGAACTGTATCAACTACATCAACAGCATCACACCAACCTATCCATCAGACTTTTCTTAGGCAGTTGAGTGTTGGTCGCAGAGTTTGCGGGCATTGCGTCATCGGCTGGTTGGGATGAAGCCCCATTGCGGACCTCTGCTTCAGCCATCTCGAAGCCAATTCACATTCAAGACACTGTAACCCCAAAGAATATAGGGATGAAGAAACACTTATGAATTGAGAAGACAAAAAAGAAGCCAAAGATGAAAAAATAAAATCTACGCCCATCGTCAAGTGATCATGACCACTGTTACACTCTAAGTATATCCGCTTCGGCATGCCGAGAACTCCGCCCAAGACGGTGGATAAGCCCTACAATTGGCTCCAGCGCGCCCTATGCCGTCATCGAGTGGCACAAATTCAATGGCAATGATCTCAGGTTGGTTGATCCAGTTCTCGGGGATTTGATCATCTCGTTGGATCATGGTACATACTATGTACATTCAGTGGGGCATGTTAAAGTCCCCATGCGATCCGATTGTGTAGTACGCAGGTCTTTCATTGCCACGGATTATTCATACGGATACCTACTCCCTTCCCTAGCTTACATCCCTGTATACTGACAATTCTAATTGGACTGCAGGATTGCGACATATATGTGCCAATTTCAATTTGCTGTACTCTTTATGATGTAATATAAAGAATAGCAAAAGATAGTTATAGTTGACAGACAATTCGAATGCACAGTATTGGATAGAAAATTACAGTAATGCAATTCACCCTATAATAGTTATAAGACTAGACAGTCTAAAGGAGTATGTACTATACTAGTTCATATAATTGGACATGTTCAAATTCGGTGCTGTAAGTGCACAAGTGAACCGTTTTTCTATAAGCTGCCACTTTTATTAATAGAGTTAACCAGGCTATATTATCCTCTCTTAGTGGCTTCTAGTTTTCTTTACTACCTTAAGTACAGCCGCTGTCTTTTAGGTAGAGGTGATAGATGGCTTTCAAGGGAGATTATTCTTGATTTCTCCCAGGGGTTCTGCTTCTGGTACTTCACTATATGTGAAGGGATTCCCTGCAAAGCCTCTTCCATCTTATGCTTCTCTAAAGTCGATTTATTATTTAAAGCTATAAGTATCTTACCTGCAGTGGAAGGCATCTGTGGAGGAGCTTATAAACACTGTAGAACTAGGTAGAAGCTTGCTAAGCAGGGTATTAGAATACAGCTGTAGGCGAGGAAGAGGTTGACTGCTTAACCTTAGTGTATTTCTCTTAGAAATCTAAGTAGCCTGAGCCTCCTGCCTTAGCTACCCTCTTTCTCTTCTTACTTCCTTAGATTTCTTCCTTTTATGTTTCTATTCTACCTTCTGCGCCTGGATAGTTGCACCTGGACTGTACTTAAGCTAGAACGCTGGATTCTTCAGGTTTTTGGGGGATACTAGCGACTGTCAAGCTCTGCCTACATGATGAAGGTGCAGAGGCCATGGTCTACTTCCTTTAATGAGATTGGTTGGAAGTGGAACTCTTTTAAAAATTAGACTTAACCGTGGTCTTGTGATCTTTTAGCTATATTGTTGCCTTTTCTTCATAACGAAGGCCGCAGCCACGAACTATGATCCGCTCGAAGATGGCATTTACAAGGGGAAAAGGGCACCATCTAGAATATACAAATATGATTTGCTAGGGTAAGATAGAATCTACGCAACTTGAACTCGAAGGTCATATCGAAACTGTTCATGTCAACCCAGGGTCCAGACGCGAAGGCCAGCACATGTTATAGATAGATAGTTATCGGGCATTATTTTTGAGTGCGTACCTTTTCACTGTATTACAAAGGTCTAGTCTATGACATATACATTTATCTCTCATACGCAAGCCTTCATCAAAGAAGCCATGCGCTGGCGCTCCCTAACACCCATGGGATCACCCCGTGCCACATCCGACGAAGAGGTGGAGACTCTAAGCCCTTGTCGTATTTCTCAGCAGAGGAGACTAGATTACCTAGATTCATATTGATGGTGTACATTTCTATCAGGACAATGTGATGCTTGCGGTACTCTGCAGAGCTCTAAATTATTTTAAAGAATAGTCAACATTAACTACAGTGTGTGAAGAATCACATATGACAACCATGCAGGTTCCATCACACCGTCTTGAGTATTATTGGCCTTGATGTACCTGTCACTCTGCCCTTTCGGAGAGGCCGATTGGCTCGCTTTTAGTTTCTGTGCGAACACCTTGCATTGCATCAGTCAAAGATGGGGTTGCATTGCAGCTCGTAGGGTTCTTGACTAGTGCTGACGGTCGGAACTCCGCGGAGTGACCTGTAGTTAGTTGAAGAGTAAAAAAGAACCAATGAGGCACAGTATTTGCTAGAACTGTTGTTCATATTCTTATACTAATCATGCAGTTATGTTTGCTCCAAGCGAATCGGTCACACCCGAAACTCTAAATAAAGTATGGACCCTGTTGATCTTGCAAAAGGGAACCATGTGGCGTTGATATCCCTTCATAAGTGGACGGCAAATGTCTCTACAAACTGTTGTGGCTGGCTGTTGTTTCTCCCGTTGATACTTGCAAGCCTGAACGTACGCCCTGCTTGCGGCAGGTTGGTAGTTGTGGAGCTGAACTGCGGAAGGATTTGCCTGGATAGATTGCCCTTTGCCCTTGATTCTTCATCAGCTGAATGTTATGGTGCTTTCAATAGGCCAATTATTGGCTAGAAACGAGCTGGAGATCTGGTGCTCATGTTCATCAGTTGCAGTTATCAATGTTGATAACTGATCATTGGGGAGGGGTAAATAACATATAAACCCTCAGCATTCCTTTCTACACAACATCTCGCAAGCGCACAACTGGGATTCAACATGCTTAGCTCTATCCTGTCCATTCTGGCTGTGGTTGTTTCTGCAGCAGCTTCGTCCTCGGACTGTAGCTGCTTGGCAAGAGCAGTCTCTGCCCTTGGTACTGAGCCACTTGCTTCTGCCTTCTGCTCTCAGCAAGTTCCCATCTCTACCGTGTTGGTATCCACGACCGTTACTGCACCAGCAGCAACGACTACTAGCACCAAGACTGTGCCAGCGCCTTTTACCCTCACCACAACTTTGGTTGACATCAGCAGTAGAGTAAGTATCTTTGTTCAATTATGAATGTCTTGTGCTGACAGCAGACAGACTACAACCATAACACAAATATTTAATGTTCCTTATGTATGTACTTGAAGATCTCGCTATAGATCCTCTCTAATTGCATGATAGGTATCTACGAAGACCGTCACACAGACGTCTCCCGCCGTGCAATGTTACGCTGGAACTACCTTTGGCAGTCAGCCTACACCAACACCTCTGGCGCCCGGTTTAGAGAAGAGACAACTCCCAACCATCTCTCTTCCGACCATCTCTATCCCTACAATCCCTGTACCGACTTTACCAATCCCCACACCCGCCTGGGTTCCGCCACTGGAGGCATCTTTGCTGTCCTCGGCCTGTGAGTGCTTTTTGGGACCTTCTCGTACTGTCACCCACACCACAACCAAATGGGTAGCCTCCGGCACGTACACGGCCACTGTGGAGGTAACGACAGTTCCGACAACTACAACGTAAGCTACTCACTACCTCTTCCCTTCAGTCACTACTAATCTACCGACAGCCATGTCACCTTGGTGATAGTTTCGACTGATGTGGCTGTCACTGCTGTCTCCACTGCGACGTCGACTGTCACAACCACAACCACATCATATACCCCCGTCCCGACGAACACTCAGCTCGGCTTGAACTGGTACTATTACTATAGTTCCCAGAACTACTTCCCCGGCCACGCAATTACCTTCGATCCTCAATCATTCAACAGCCCTAAGTATAACTTTAGCGGCTATGTCCAAAACGTTGGTAGCTTCGGAACTGTGAACTACCCGAGCACAGACCACACATGCAGCCCACCAGTCAACGCACCATGTACGTGGGTTTGCATCGTCATCCAAGGCTACCTTTGGGCAAAGGAGGGGCCTGGCAACTACACCCTATCCTCAGGGGCCAACACCGACAATGCCTTCTATGCCTGGCACGGGACAAAGGCGTACAACGACTACCAGAAAAACAACTATGACTACCTTGCGGGCAACTATATCAAACAGGCTGGCTCGGTTACTGTCCAAGTAGGAGTTGGAGAGCTTGTTCCCTTTACTTTTATGTGGGTCAATGGTGGCGGTCCTGGTCAGGCGTACCTGACCATAACTGACCCTGCTGGTAAGGCCCATGCGGACACAACGGGCTTCTTTGTTCCAGCAAATAGCACTTGCCCTGGCTACATCGATCCATTCTCTCCTTAGGGTGAGTGGGGGATATTGGCAGTGTTCATTGGGGAAGAAATTCGTTTGATATTTACGCAGCCAGAGTTTACCACTGCTCTGCACCTCCTGCTTTTCATCCTTTTCACTGTCATTCTTTCATGTTCACTAGGAGTTTCACTCTTTTTCTTCTGACACATAACGTCGTAATCCACGTTCTTATAGCTAACAAGAAGTACGACTGAGCTTTTAGAAGATCTAGGATACCATCTTCTTAAGCTGACTTTGTTATGAGGAGGCCAGACTGTTCAGGCTCATAGGTGACCAATTGAAACTCCTAGCAGTGACAAGTATATACTATTATATTTACTAGTTAATTGTATGAATACAGAACTGTCAAGTAATACTAAACCTTTACAGATTATATAATTGCCCATTGGATGGACAGGGATTAGCAAGTTATGCGATAAATGACATCATCATCCTCACCAGTCATATAAACAGGAAACGTGCATCCTATGTCTTTCATCGGTGTAGTCATTATCAATCATTCCAAAACTTGGGTAGTGAATATGCAACCTTTAGTCACAGAAAACGTACTCATCCACGGCATGCGAATCGCCTATGGCATCTACGGAGAACAAACCGCAGAACCAGTCGTCTTACTCCACGGGACGCCATCCAGCTCCCTCATCTGGCGAAACGTCCTGCCTCATCTAACAAGTGCCAACTACAGAGTTTACGTATTTGACTGGCTTGGCTACGGGCTTTCCGAACGTCCCTGGGATCCATCCATCGATACCTCGATTTCGGGCCAAGTGCCAATTCTGGAGGACTTGCTGGCGCACTGGGGTCTGGAATCAGCCCATGTCGTAGCTCATGATATTGGCGGCGGAATCGCGCAGCGCTTTGCCATTTTCTCGCCGCAGAGGATTCGTTCCCTGACGCTTGTGGATGTGGTCAGTTTCGACAGTTATCCGTCTGCCAGAACGAAGAAGCAGATGGAGGACCGTCTAGAGGCCCTGATTCGGGCGCCAGAAGAGAAACATCGCGAACATTACCGGGATTGGTTGCTGTCTGCTGTGCACAAACGTGAGCAGTTCGAGAGTTCGACTCTCGATACCTTCCTCGGGTATATTTCTGGGCCCGTCGGGCAGGCGAGTCTCTACCAGCATCAGGTCCGGTTCTATAACCCCAAGCATACGTTGGAGATTGCCGACCGGTTGGGTGAGCTGGGGAAATTGCCTGTTAAGCTGATTTGGGGGGCGAATGACGGGTGGCAGGTTCCTGATTGGGCGCATAAATTGCATGAAGCTATTCCCGGGTCACAATTGGAGATTATTGAGGATTGCGGGCACTTTTCTCCGGAGGATCAGCCGGAACAGCTCGCTGAGTTACTGGTCACGTTCCTCAAGGAGCATTCATAGTTGATTGAGGCCAATTTCTTCTGTCATTTACCAACATAATCGAGTATCTGCTGCGCCGCTACCAAATTGTCTTACATCTCAACCCTTGACCTGCACACATACCCAAAGAAAGCACGCAAAAGATGCCATATAACTCAGCCCAGTGAGCAGGATGACACCCCAGAAGCCCCTCCTTCCCCCTCAGTGGCCGTGATCAAGCTCCCCGCAATGGGAATGCTCGTCAAGCATCCAATACTGGCAACCGTATACGCACTTGCATATGTAGTCCAGGAGGGGCAATAGCAAGTGCCGCAAGATCATGTGATTGGTGGGAAGGCGTTCATTAAGGACTGGACTCTATTAATCCCTGGACCGATGATGGATCTAACGGACTTGTTGGATCTTACTCTGCACTAAACACGTCCTTAGATAATTCTGTCGACAGGGTGGCTGACCTGCCCCGCATACCTATTGGACTCACTGATTCTCGCAGTAATCTTCCTTCGTTTACACGTTACCATCCTTGTTATGCCTCGATTTATAGAGAAGCACGAGTTGCCTCCTTTGGCCATCACCTAACGTCGTTCACATACCTGAAAAACTACAGACGTGACCTTGGTCTCTTGTCACAGTTTCACCAGATATCCCGGAGTGTTCCTGCCCCTGCTTAAACTGCTCCCCGAGTACACCTGAGGCAACTGTGGGTTAGCAGTGCTTCCTGTGCCATTAATGCGCACCAGAGCAAGCGTGTGGCGACAACCATGCTTCCGTCTCGGTCTGTAGGGGCAACAGCTAAAGACAAGCTTTCTGGCAACAGCCGCTGCAGATCCTGATGCCGGCAGTGTCATCGGATTCCGATTCAAAGCATTTACCGACCAGGTCCGAGAAATGATTCATTTTCGGGTGCTAATAGAACTGCATGATGAGGCCCTAATCAGCACCCACGCTAAAAGTCTGCATTCTCACAGCAACGTGTGCTCCAGTCGGGTATATGCCAGTTCCTCTGTCTCAGTCTCTCGGTAACTAGACCCATGCACGGGCCGGAGTGGTTATGGATGACAGGCTCTTGGTCGACCGCCCAATATAATAAATTGTATAGATCCGGAATGTCACAAGAATGAAAGCCTCGCGAAATCGCGGAGAGCTGATACATTGGTTTCCATAACAACTGTAAGGTATGTTCACATCAATGCTGTAGTATAGATTGGTGATCAAGCAAGTTTCACAAAATTAAATCTATATTTAACATCCAGCCCGGGAGTTTCCTGGGAATTGCCGGTATGTACCATGCGCAAGATACTCTTTCCACTCGGCAATGATGGGAATGCTTTATGCAACATATCAGAGTGATGTAGCACTCTGGTAAGCACTAGCTTCGCATTATCAATGCTCATAGGGTAGGGGTTTTCGTCGTATGTATGGCGTGCATTAGTGTCAGAACTTCCGCGTGTCAAACTCATATTCGACAAGGGAATTAGATCATATGTACCCTCGTCAGGGACACCGACTTTCCCTTTCCTTCTCAACCCCCTTCCTCATTCTTCAGGGTTTGTGGTGCAGCATGTTGCGATTTTCGGTTTTCTTAAGCGCCATATGCGCCATTGCTCTCGTACAGACAGGCAAGGCATCGCTCAGTGTCTTTGAACCAGACAATTTCAACGTGAACGCCGCGCTTTATAATCTGGGGGTGGATGTCTCTACGATTCCTGCCCTGGGTTCACTGCAGTCTCTGTCAACCGAGTCTCAGTCCGCCTGTCGCGCTGCAGTAAGGATCACTTCGATTTATGGAGTCAGGATATACATATGAAGGACTGACGTTTTACAGTGCGGTGCCCTGAGCTTTCTGTACGGCCCAAGTAGAGCATTCGCGCAGAATACCACCGCGTACTCTAATGCCACAGGATCGTACTGGTCGGTCCAGCAGGAAGAAGTTCGTCCTTACTGCATCTTTAAGCCATCGGTAAACACTGATGTTTCTATCCTTGTCCTTCTCGCAAGGTATACCGGCTGTCCTTTTGCCATCAAGAGCGGTGGCCATGGTGCCTTTGCGGGTGCATCGAGTATACGGGGAGGGATTACTGTCTTGCTGAAAGATATGAACGCCATCACTCTAAATGACAATAGGTCTGTTGTGTCAGTCGGTCCCGGCAATGTCTGGGTCCAGGTATACTCGGCCTTAGAGCCCTATGGCCTTGCTGCCATCGGCGGCCGGGTTTCCACGATCGGTGTTGGAGGGCTTACGACCGGAGGTGGGATCTCGTACTACTCCAATCTTTATGGTTGGGCTTGCGATAACGTCGAGAGCTTCGAGGTATGAAAGCCATGTATTGCACGTTTTGTTCAGAAGCTTACCGAGAGGAGGTCGTTACTGCGAGCGGTGCCATCGTCATAGCTAGTGCAGACTCTTATCCTGACCTCTACTGGGCTCTCCGGGGCGGTGGGAATAACTTCGGGATCGTCACCAAGTTCAACCTCTATACCATTCCGAGCCCTGAAATGCGAGGCGGAACCCGAGTCTTTGCTGAAGATCAGTTCAGCAAGGTGATCAGCGCCTTCGTCAGCGTGGTGAACGGCGCCTCCGATGACGGCAACGCGCAGCACTGGGTCGCGTTCGTCCATACCCAGGGACAGAACGTCGCTGCGGCCGAGATCACATATGTCAAGAACGTCAGCGAGCCGGCCATTTTCGCTCCCTACCGTGCTATTCCCGCAATCCAGGATACCACAGCGGTCAGGACTTTGGTGGAGTATTGTGACGTCGTTCAGGAGGTCAATCCCGACGGCCTGCGGGAGATGTACTGGACGTTAACCGTTCACTTGGACGAGGACTTTGCGAACTGGGTTACCGAGTACTTTTACTCCGTTCTTCCGCAGGTTTTGGGCATTCAGGGTATTAATCCTTCCCTCGTCAACCAGGGCATTACCATCCCCATGCTTAAGAACATGACGCGGAATGGAGGTAACGCACTGGGTCTGGACGCCTCAGAGGGTCCATTTCATCTACTGCTGATGTCGACCTGGTGGGAGAATGCTGATGACGACGAGAAGATAGTTGCATGGGCTAAGGATTTCTGGGATACAGTCACCGCCAAAGCGAAAAAGGATGGCGTGTTCCGTGACTATGTCTACATGAACTACGCGAGTCAGTATCAGGATGTCATTGCGGGTTACGGGACTACAAACAAGGCCAAGCTGCAGAGCATTGCTGCCAAGTATGATCCCAAGGGGATCTATCAGACGTTGCAGCCGGGGTATTTCAAGCTGGATGGCGCACCTGCCTCGGATTCACTTTGATTGTCGAAATTAGACTGGCTTACCCAATCCACAGATCCACACCCAACCCACCCAATCCACGCTATGGGTTGGATAAGGGTTGGCCCTGATCCAACCCATAGTGTGGATAAACTATTTAGGTACATGTGACTAGCAGAATTTAGTGGGTATATAGGTTTTATAGTTTATCTATAATATTCTCTTAATAGGAGATTGTTCCACCTACTAAAAGTAGTATAGTTTAAAATTATATACTAATTATAGGTAAAAGTGATTACCCACAATCCAACCTACATGGATTAGGAGGTGGATAACTAATGTCATGGGTTTCCCTAAACCCATATGGGTTGGGTTGAACCCCATGTGGATTAACCCATATCCACCCCACAGCCAGTCTAGTCGAAATTGTTGATGTACTGTTCATTAGTACAATAGTCTGGAGACTTATTATTTCAAGTGATATATAATAATCATTGGGAAGTGATATCAATCAAAGCTTCATGTACTCACAGGGTGACGAACATATTTCTGGCATTTATCAGATACTACTTCTATGCTATCTTTCACAGCGTCATACTTAAAAGATGTAAGGTTTATACTAACAATGGCTACAATACAATGCCTCAATGTCCACATAACATAATCCACGGGTGAGGCGCGGATACGGGTGAACCGCGGATTTCTGCAGATTTTCGCCGCTACCTAAGCAGTATTCTTCAACGCGTTGTTTTTTTGTTATTCCCATACAAAATGCCTTTATCCAAGGAAGCTTATATTCAAATGGCTATTACTGCATGGAAAGATAAGAAAGTCAAATCAATATTGAAAGCTGCAAAGCTATATAATGTAGCTGAATCCACCCTTCGTGAGCGGCTTACTGGCGTCAAACCACGGTCAGAAACACGCGCAAATAACCTCAGATTATCTTCAATTGAAGAAGAAACTCTTGTTAAGCAACTGCTAGATGCAGATAAATAAGGATTTTTAATTCAGTCTGACTTTCTGCGTGAAATGGCGCAAATTTTACTTCAGGAATGTACATAGGACCCTACTGCAGTTCTTGGTATCAACTAGTCCTATTCCTTTACTAAACGCCGTCCTGAACTACGTTCAAGATATAATCAGAAGATTACATATGTGAGGGCAAAGCAGGAAGATCCAAAGGTTATAAAACCATGGTTTGAAACTGTACATGCAGCAATTCAAGAACATGGTATACATTAAGATGATATTTAGAACTTTGATAAAACTAGCTTTACAATGGGACTCTGTACAGCATTAAAGGTTATTACTACAGTGGAACACAGTGAAAGACCTCAGAGAGTTATCCAAGGGAACCAGGAATAGGTCACAATTATTAAATGTATGAGCTCTAAGGGGATTCATATACCACCAGTCATCATCTTAAAAGGAAAAGAACACCAGGCTCCTTAGTATCAAGAGGCCAATCTTCCTCCAGATTAGAAGCTTACAAACAGTCCTAATGGCTGGACAACAGATGTGATAGGCCTTAAGTGGTTGAAGCAAGTTTTTGACCCTTTTTCTAAACTACATTCAACCGGCGCGAAACAGTTACTTATTCTTAATGGTCATTCAAGTCATCTAAATGCTAAATTTGACCATTTCTGCAAGGAGAATGCAATTATCTCTCTTTATATGCCTCCACATACATCTCATCTTCTTCAACCACTGGATGTTGGTGTTTTTGGGCCACTCAAACGCGCATATAGAAAATTAGTTGAAGACATGATGGTGGCTGGAAACAACCACATTGATAAAGAGGATTTTCTATACCTATATCCTTCTGCACGTGAAGCAGTCTTTACTCAGAAGAATATATGGAATGGCTTTGCAGGATCTGGTCTTAAACCACTTGATAAAGACCAGGTGCTTGCAAAAATCACCTTTTAACTTCGTACGCCAACACCACCTCTTATTAAGGTTGAAGGGTTAATATCTTCTGCTTTTCAAACACCTCAGAATTCTCATCAACTTAACCACAAGTTCCGCAGCCTACAGAAAAGTCTTCAAAAGAAAAGGACTCTTTCTAGTAGTCCAATTTCTCATATCCAACACCTTGAAAAGGCCGCGCAGATGGCAATGAATACCAACCTTCTTCTTCAGCGAGAAATCAAGGTTCTATGGGCTCAGAATGAGTGGAAAATGAAGAAGAAGGCAAGGAGGCGTGCGGTTCTAGGAAATGATCTCTTTATATCTGTACAGGAAGGTTATGATCATATTCAGCAGCTTGATACACTTGCTGAAGGGCAGATTGAAGGGCAGGTTGATAAGACTACATCTGGACTTCAGCAGCGAGCTTCACCACGCTGTAGTGGGTGCTGGAATATTGGACATAATAGAAGGAGTTATCCTAATAAATAGTCATACATTCATATACTAGATAGTCTAATTTTAATGGCGTTGATGGTTGAAAAGCTTCAAAAATATATTAGGAGAGGGGAAAATCCGCAGAAATCCGTGGTTCACCCGTATCCGCGCCTCACCCGTGGATTACGTTATTAAGAGGTTTCTAGTATATAGGTGGGTATATATCTACATAAACCAAGCTATCCTAAATTCGGCTAATACATTATGTATTAAACTTGATTTAATGTAGATCATAAGTAACATCCAGCCATTAAAGGAGGACATGCTGCAAATTTTAGCGAGTCGGGCAGACCATAATTGGCCTGCAGAAAAGCTATGGCGTGTAGGTGAGACATCACCTGAGTGCTCATGTATCTGTAGCCTCAGGTGGTTCCACAGCAAGGAACGGACTAGCGATGGTGTGTCCGACAGGAGCCCAAAAACGCAGTTGTCAGCTATGTTTAATGTTTACTGAAACATGCCCTCAGACTATAACCCAAACGGCCTATGCTACTAGTGTGGGAGGGATACCAAGATGTCATAACTATGGACAAGGACCTGCTCGATCGTGCTTCGGTTGGACATGGCGTCTATTTACGAGCGCATGGAACGAATCATGTCTCTGTTAATCCCCTGCATAATGTTTGTTTCATCGTCGATGAGCCCAATCTCGGCAAGTTCCGAACATTCCTTGGGCTTCAAGACATCAGTACGAGCACGGGTTGGACATGCTAGCCCTTGCCTGCTACACTCTAGATTACTAATTAAGCTATTACTTTGTAATATTACGTCTGAAAGCCTCGCCTCGCCCTGAGCATGGAAATTCTAGAAGCGGATATTATGTTCGCGATGCACACTTGGCGAATGCTCAAGGTCGATGGACAGCATGCGCATGGAGGGATCTCGTCCCCGACCAGCGCGTCCTTGTCGTCCATTTGGGCCTCCGTGTCACTACGCAGGCAGAGCATTCTCATTATTGAACATCAGATACGGATTAATTTCCGTATGCGAAGCTCTATTGTCAACTTGATCGAGCCTCGATTCACAACAGGAGCAATAGTCAATATCTCAAAATAAAAAAGCGCAGCTGGGGAATGCTTATAGCCGCTTATCGTCAACCGATTGGAAAAACAACAGCACGCTGATAAAGAAGACAAGCCTTCGGCATCTCATTGTCTAGCACAAGGATAACGGCTTGATTAAACAGTGTGGTTGATCTCCTTCGCATACAGAACAAAATTGGTAGTGACGGGTTGGAGCATCATTACCAGCTCCCATAAAAGCATTCGAAGCCCCCGGGAGGAGGAAAAGATCATCCAGTGCCATCCAGCGCCTGAGCCTCGCACATCCGAGCATACAACCCCCCCTTCGCAAGCAGCTCGTCATGCGACCCAACCTCAACGATACTCCCTGCATCAAATACAAATATGCAGTTGGCATCACGCACCGTTGAGAGACGATGCGCCACGGCAACAGTAATCCTTGCTTCAGATGAGGCCGCCTCCGCCAGAGCACCTTGAACAAGCTTTTCCGACTCGGTATCCAGCGCGCTGGTCGCCTCATCGAGCAAAAGCACGCGGGGATTACGCACCAGCGCCCTGGCAATGGCAATGCGCTGCCGCTGGCCCCCTGAAAGGAGTTGGCTACCGCTCGTTGTCCCGCATTGCGTGTCGAGTCCCTCCGGCAGCGAGGAGACGAAGTCCCATGCGTTGGCGGCCCGGCATGCCTCCTCCAGTGCGTCGTCTGACGCTGTTTCCGTGGCTGAGAGACCTGGCATCCCCTGTGAGATGTTTTCGCGGATCGTGCCTGGGAAGAGGGTCGGCTCTTGCTGCACCAGGGCCACGTGCCTGCGGTATAGGAGTGGGTTGAGAGAGGATAAAGGCGCAGATGAGTCGATGGTGATGGTGCCGTTAGTTGGGTCGTAGAAGCGTTCGAGGAGCGATATCATGGTGCTTTTCCCGCAGCCTGAAGCACCAACAAAGCCTACAAAGTCGCCTCTCTGGATCTAGAATGGAGAAGAGTTCAGTTAGTGACTACAGTTTGCACTGATCTCCCTCAACCCCAGAGAGCAGGGTCAACGAGCAGTCTCCTTCCGAGCCAGTATGAACATACCGACAGAGACACTCCCTTGAGAACTCGGTTTTCCGGCGCCAGGGGGTACGCGAACTGCACATCTTGCAAATCGTAGGAGCGGCAGCCATCCTTGGGTCCTTCTGTGCGGTTGCTGTCCATCTCACGGATGGTCCCATCCAGCCTATCGAGCCAAAAATAGTAGTTGGCGGCTTGGTTCGCCTTAGTAAAGCCTGGGAGCTGTCAATAACCAAATCACGGCGGCCCATCCACCGGCTTTCCGGACTCACTGCTCGCGAAACTAAAAGCCAACGCGGTGGCCTGACCGGAGAAATAAACGCCCATGAAAGACACTACGAACTGATACAAAGTAATTTCCCCATCGTTGATCAGCTTTGATCCCCACCTGTTTCCATAATCGATCAGTCAATTAGCTGGGTAGGTCGGGTCGCTTCAACATGTCTCCTTCGCAACACCGAAAAGGGGAAGGGAAGACTTACCAGAACCCCAAAGCCAGCACAAAGTACTCCACGGACTGCGTGAGAGAGAACCAGATCATCATATGGAACATCGGCCCGCTCGCCTGGATGATCGCTCGGTCGAGCTCATCGGCGTACTTCTTTAGCACAGTGTTTTCGATTGCGAGCGACGCGACGGTGCGGATCGCCATGACCGTCTCCGACGCTACCGACGCACTCGCTGACAACCTCTGTCCCATTTCATCGTCCATCTTAGTCTCAAGTCGGACACGTGCATAACCGCCTATCATAATGGGCGGCAGGCCGACGAAGACGCCGATCAGTCCCAGTTTCCACGAGACAGCAACGGCGAGGACGCTCGACGCGACAATGTTGATCGCTGACATGAGAATAATGGCGACGGTGAACCCCATCAACTCTAAAATGGCCTGTGGATATGAATCGAGTCGGCTGGTGAGCGCGCCCACCGTGTTCTCAGGCCGATCGAAGAACCGCAGGTCCTGTCGGAGGAAGGCGTCTAAGATTTCCCGTCGCAGCTTCCTGCTGAGAGTCTATACGGTATCACGCTTGCGGTCAGTATCGTGGTATGAATTAGGGGGTGACACAGGCGCGAAAGCCCTCACTTGTGCGATTGTATTGGTTGACCAGCCCATGATGAAGTATATGAGAAGAATACCGAGCGACATGACAAAGAACATTAGCGCGATGAAGTTGCCGCGAGCGACCATGTTGGGAGAAGTAAAGACGCTCATGATATTGCCGAGTAAGAGGGCTTGCCCAGGGTTGACGGCAGCTGCGAGTGACATCGTAGTGAGTAAGTTTGTCATGTACGGGCCTGCCATAATTCTTCAGCTCTGGAGATACTCACCTCCTCCGATGCACGTGGCCATTGTGACCGCGAACCAAATCCAGAGCTCAGGCATCCCTCTCAAAAGATTCCAAATATTATGGATAATGCCCGTCTTCTCGTACAAGCTGTGATCTTCCCGGTCCTGTAGTGCCGCAAGCTGTTGCGCCTCGGCCGTTCGGGCCCTGGCAACAGACTGATCATCTTCCTTTTCTGGACCCTCGTCAGACGTGCTCGTACCCCCAGAACCATGATTCTGTTCCAAGTTCGCTGGCGCAATATCCTGGGCCTTGACAAGAGAGGCGTAGATACCGTTCTTGCGCGCCAGCTCTTCGTGCGTCCCCTGCTCCATGATCTTGCCTTGGGACATGACCACGATGTTATCTGCCTTGCGGATTGTCGCGAGTTTGTGGGCGACCACGATGGTCGTCCGCTTCTGCATGGCACGGTCGAGTGCCTTCTGGACGGTAGCCTCGGCATGTGGGTCGAGCGCGCTGGTCGCCTCGTCGAGGAGGAGGATTTTAGGCTCCGAAATAACGCTGCGAGCGATGGCAATACGCTGCCTCTGTCCACCTGAAAGCAGACCACCTCTCTCACCGATGCGCGTGTGGTATCCTTGCGGCAGGTTCTCGATGAACTCGTGCGCAAAGGCGAGTTTCGCAGCCTCCTGAACGAGCTTCATTTGGTCTTCATGCGACGCGGTCTCCCATGGGGTACCGACGAGGCCATTGGCGATATTCTCAAACACACTGGCGTTGAATAGCACCGGTTCCTGTACTGCACAGGTTAGATAAATAGCTTGCCCTACAGGATTTGTGGCACACTGAGTGCTTTGGGTGTCTCTATCTTGCCTGTTGAACTAGACGGACGTTCGTCCGCAGCCACTTGAGGTTGAGGTGACTGATGTCCTTGCCGTCGAAGGAGATGCTGCCTGAACAAGGGGAATACCACCGTTCCAGCAATCCGATAATGGTGCTCTTTCCTGACCCAGATGGCCCCTTTATCACATGATTAATTAAGGGTTTCAACCGCAGATACGATTTAGCGATTACTCACCACCAACGCGGTGACCTTTCCGGCAGGGATATGCAGGGTAAAGTCTTCCAGTACGGCGACATCTGGACGCGTAGGATATCTGAAGCCGACGCCGTGCAAATCAATGGAGCCGGCAGGGTTTTCCGGTTTGGCACCCGATTCGTCAAACGGATTGATCTCAGAGTTCCTATCGATGAGAGCGAACAGCTCCGACGCTGCGGTTGCCGCGCGGCTGAAGGCGACCATGTGCGGTGCTATTTGCATGACCGTGGTCGCGGCCATAATGATGGAGAAGAGAACACTGTCCTGTCGTTAGTCCTGATATCTCCACAAAGACCTGGTTATCAGATCTCCGGCTCTCGAGAAAGCGATACTGACACAAAGACTGTTCCTAAGTCGGCAATCTCACCACGGTCGAGCATGGCGATGCCCTGCCAGAAGGCAAGTCCCATGCCAGCGTGGACCACGAAATACTGCCCTCCAAACACGATACCATACAATTTGTTCTTTCTCATCCCCTGAGAATATGCCTCCTGCAGGTAAGAGTCAAATTTGGCTATCACTCTGGGTCGAAGGCTGAAGGCCTGAACTGCCCGAAAGCCCCCGAGGACACTCTCGGCATAGCTACCGGCTTGGGCATGAATCTGCAAGATCTTGGTCTCAATCCTGGCGTCAATTCCACCAGCCGTTCCAAGTACTATAAGCAGAGTTGGCACCATAAAAATCAGGATTAACGTCAGCTTCCATTGTGTGACGAACGCGATCACCAAAGCCGCCACGAAGGTGGAGACGGCTTGGATGACAATACCGAGTTTCTCAGCAATCCCAGATTGGATAAGGTTGCCGTTTGTGGTTGCTTGTTGAGATATAGAGCCGGTGGCGCCCTGGTCGTAGTAGCTGATTTCCTGGCTGAATGCAGCACGTAGGTAGCTTCGTCGGACGTTGCGGGTTAGATGGTATGCGACGTAGGTGAAGAGAGAGGCGTAGAGGTAGGTCGCCACGAGACGGACGACACCAATGTATATGAAGTAGAGACTATAATTACATTAGTATCGTCGAGAAACCAAAAAGGCAGAAAACGTTCTTACGCAGACGTCCGCACAGCGGACATAAAATTGGCTGGTATTGAGTCCATGTCCGAGAAGGTAAAATCGCTCAGCAGTGTCAAGAACTGTCCCATGACCAGGTTGACCATGGCGAGAGCTACACCAGATGCAATAGCCGCTATGAAGGCAATGCATTCGAGAAGGTAGAGTTTAGAATCGCCAAAGGTGAAAACTCTCTGCGAGAGATCGTCCCTGCTCATCAGCCACTATTCCCGTCGCAAAGACCGGTCCTTCAGCCAAACTAACCAGGAAGCCATTCGGACCTTTCTTCTTCTCGACATATTCGTCCTCGTCCGTGTTAGATTTGATCGGGATGTAAGCATCGTTGGTTATTCCGGCAGCTTTCTCGTTCTCTCGGTGGTCCAACGGAACTGTCATCTTATTTGCGCCGTGATGGGAACTGTTGTATGAGAAAGGAGTGAACGACCGAGCAAAGTCAATCTGATGGAGGACGAAGAATATATAGAGAGAATGAGAGATAAGGGAAACCCGTTCTGGCTACATCTTCGCAGTACTATGCCCCGGGGTGCGGAGGTTACCATGTCTGTAGCATATAGAGCGAAGGGCGGAGGGCGGAGCCTCCGAGTCTCCGAAGCGTCCCAGCCCGAGCGCCAAGTCCCCCCTTTCTACAGTCCGTTCGACGCCATCATCTCATTCTCTTCTTGGAACGTTCCATCGAGCGGACCCTAATAGATGTAAGCCTCGCTCGCTTGTGAGTTCTTCGGAAGCCAAGGAGAACAAATGGACGCCGACCGACACACGCCGTCTACGGACCAGGCGACTGTGCGTCAATGGGAACCGCCAGCCATCCAATCAGCCATTGGAGGGGAAGCAGCAGATGTCTCGTTCTCACTCGCGGAGGAAAACGAAGAACAGAATTCTTCCACGACTGAGAAATTAGCAGTGGGTTGCCTGTTGTACCCACCGGATGTGAAGTTCTATCCTGTAGCTGATCCGCTTCTCCAAATTAGTGTCATCGATGCCGCCAGCGCAAGGTGAAGACGAGTCAACTATCCAGCCATGGGAAGCCTCCATGAGCAATGGGGTCTAACTTCTGCTTTTTGTTCAGGTGAAATGCGACCGGGAGAACCCGTGTTCTCACTGTGTCAAAGCTAGGGCACAGTGTTCATACGCAACCGGCCCCAAGCCAAGAGAAAGACGGCAGAGGGTTATGGTCTCACATACATAGTAAGTCACTATCACAAGATCCCGGGCGAACACTTGGCTAAGATCCATCCAGTGATTCCAAGTTGGATGCAATATCGAGAAAAATTGACGAGCTCAGCCAGAGGATGAGCCAGATGACTCACGGGCCGATGAAGAAGGCAGCCTCTGAATCTCTCGACTTTGCACAAAACCCTATCGACATCAACCAACAGGAGCCCAGCTCGTCCTCGTCGTTCGGGCCAACACCATATTGCTCCTTACTCGGGGCCACGCCAGACCAATGGTCTCTGTCTGATCATCCTACCAGCGAGGATGTCCGTGAAGCGCACGATCACTCCTCCAAAGCGGAGTACGAAGGCGAATCGTCGCTGTTCGCTCACGCTGTCTTTGCAAGTCGTTTCCTGCAGAACGCCATCCACAACACGACCAACGCGGAGGTCGCGCACGAGATGGGAGCCGTGTTGGATGGCCTCCAGGCTGCGGTGCATTCGGGGAAACAACGGTCTGACCCGCTCCATAGGCTTTATCCTCTTGCCAAGGCGATTCCGCCTAGCTCGACAACTCGCAACCTCCCTTTGCCGCCGGTTGAGAAGGTATTCATGTGCTTGCGAATGGCCCGGGAGTGCCCGCAGGTAGCCACGCTATGGCTGGGGGGATTTATCCAGCCCTCCCAGTTCAATGACTACTTCTTCAAAGTCGCATCGCCGGGTCCTGCCACCGAAGCCGACTTGATAATCGTTCATTACGGTCTGCATAGGCTATTCTGCGAATGCTCCAAAGTTGTCGACGGAGAAACGAAGCAAGACTACTACGCTCAGGCTGTCATATGCGAGGCCAATCTTGAGACCGTCCTTGCCAATCTTCGCTTCCATCAGCCAACCAACATGGATTTCGCATACGCGATGGCTATGGCGGTAAGCAGTCTGCGAGAACCAATCAATAAAGCCCGCTCTAACTAGTTGTCCGCTCTACTAGTCGATTTATTGCCTTGAGAAGAACAAGCCATCTGCCGCTTGGCATTTTATCAATTCAGCCTCCCACATGATCCAAGCTCTGGGCCTGCAACACAACGTGCCTGCCGGCACAGACCATTCCGGAGTTAAGGCTCAGAAGAGGTCCTTGTTCTGGACCGTTTACATAACTGAGAAGATGCTGTCGCTACGCCTTGGACGCTCATCGACCTTCCGAGATCAGGACATCACTTTGGCCCGCCCTGGGAGGCAGCGTGGTCCCAGCGGTTCGTTCTTGGCCGAACTAGCCCCCGGTTGGATCAAAATAGCCAGTATCCAGGGTCGAATCTACGACGACATCTACAGCCCCGGCGCCCTTATGCAACCACTGCATATTCGGACGTCTCGTGCCCGGGCGTTAGCAGCAGAGCTGAAAGCGGCCATGCAACATGCGCAAGATTTTCACGTAAGTTCGTCTACTAGCTCTCTACCTCCCTACCCACGAGCAAGGAGTTGTCTCCTCCCTATCACACCCCTGGATACAGTGCCAGCGGGCTGACTGGTCTGAATCGGACGTAGGACCATTATGAAGCGAGCAATGGGCAAGTGCTGGGACAAGATTTCCACGAAATAGCACGACGGTCCGATCGCGTCATCGGCTTGTCCATGCTGACGCTCATCTATCGAAGCATTGCGCCGGAGAAGCCATCTACGTCCGCATTCTGTCAAGAATGCATCGATGCCGCCCGAGAGACGCTCCGGGAACACGACCGATGCGTCGAGGTGATTAACAAGGCGCAAGGGAAGACGGTGTTCCTCGAAGCATACATAAATTGGTTCGCTCTCGATGATTCCCCCTTCCGTTCTGCCATCTGGGCCAGACCAATGATAATCTGACATTGGAGAGAAAATGCAGGACTATGACTCAGAGTCTATTTGTTCCCTATATCATCCTATTCTGCCACACCATCGAGATATCCGAGGCCTCCGACCTAGCCCACATGAAAAGTCTTGTCGAGACGCTCGAGTCTACATCGAGCGTCGGCGCACAGAGCACATGCGACAGGCAACGGCGCCTCTTCAAAGCGTTATATGACGTTGCAGCCACATACGTCGAAGTCAAATCCCGGGCGGATGGTGCGCAAACGGGGATATCGTGGTCGATGGCTGCTGAGCAGCCCTATGCCTGTGAGTCCTTCACCAACACGACCTCGACAGGTCTCGGGCTCGGTTCCTTTATGGGAGACCCCGGCATGGCGACCAGCACTTCCGGTGTCTCTCCAGGTCATACGGCGTTGTCCCACCCAGCCTTGGAGGACATGGACATGGAGATAGATCTCGCGGGAGCGCAGCTGTGGGACTGGTTCAACAAAAACCAGTTGATCATGAAGATGCTGGAAGATACATAGCACAGAACAGGGCGAGTGGTTTAAGGCATTAATGCAGTATACAAAAACATGTCATCCGGCCAAACAGTGCAGGACTCACGAGGAGACGGTGCGAGTTGAGTAGAGGTGGCCCTGAACAGCCCGAAGCAACAAATGTCCGGGCAGTAGAGTTGCATAACCGAACCGCTTAACTCAAATCCAACCCTCACCGAACTCGCAGCGGTTCGATTCGGTTCCTTAATTGAGAAATCGCTACGGGTTAGGGGCGGGTCAGGGTCGGATCCAGGGGGTCAGCGGTTAAACCGCTAGAAACTGTTTTGCTTAGTAATCACTAATTTCTAGGATTTCTCTAAAAAGTATTAATCTCACTAGATAGCCTAGTATCTAGTCTATCCAAATATGAAGTATCAATTCAAGATACCTAGTGGTTGGTGAGATGTAAGGGGATAATCATTTCTATCATGGGTTGGTATGAACGCAGTGGTGGTTTATATATACATACGAGTTGCGTTGGCGTCGGCCTTACGGCCGCCGCTGTGCACGTGTTGCCAGTCAGTAAACTTTCATATTCTTGCTACATGATGTATCTATCTATTTATGCTTCAGTATGATGCGCCGGCTGTTTTTGCGTACGACGGAGTCGCTGGTCTCATATCTCATGGTGCAAGGCCGGATTCGGTGGATATCTATGAGCGCATACCCATCTCTCATGCGGAGAAAAAACGCGATGAGGATATTCTAGCATTACTCGCCTCTTCCTGGGTGTGAATTGCTGACCCGCAGGGTCTTGAAGATACCTGGGCAAATAGTAAGGTCATAGAGCAAAAAATGAAACAGACTCATCAACATGCCAGCTAACAAAGCCACAACATTTTAAGATCTCCAGTCATTTCACTGCTTCTGTTACTTTTAACTCTTACAGAGCACTTCTCAACACTACCAGACAGCTATTCCAGAGACTCCATCATGACTTCGGCTCGGACTAATGGGCAGTTGACTCTAAGCCTGACCGATATGTGTATAGCACGAAATTGACTCGTCAAAAGATGAGACACACAGACAGCGGGAGGGGGCCGTGGGAAGACTTTCAATAAGATGTATGAATTGCCTCGGTACTGAGTTCGTTTGTCTCCATCAGAAGATTTCAGTACTGAATTGACAAAAAGCATCAAAAACATACAACAGCATGTATATGTCGGTGCTCACCCACCCCAGCGTCTGTTCCCTCGCCGCTTTGCCGCGCACGTTCCGGCGGCCTTCAGGTGAAATTCAGGTACCTGAATATTTTACACTCGACTACCAAGAAGCTGTATTTTGACAAAAGCACACAATAGCGCCCCTGTGTGAGAGAGAAATTGTTTAAACCCATGATGTGTCCGTCTTACTCCTACACCTTCATCCATAACTTGAAACTGATCGGACAGTATGCCACACAAGCCAGTTGCAAACTTTACGTGCGTGATCAACCTTGATGATCACGATGATAAAGAGATCAAACGAGCCGTTCTTCCACGAACGGCCGAAAAGTATGAGCGGAGTGTGAAGATTTTTGACCAGTAAGTCTTTTGAATCTACGGAAGGCTCGCATCTCATCCTCTCAGATTCCTTGAGCTGCACCCCGCTGCCCGCTCTCCCCCAGATATCAAAACCTACAAAGGGTTTTTGGAATTTTACGCAAGAAACACAACAGGTCGGATCGAGGAAAAGCCTACAACAGAGACCGTGGAGAATTTACGCCGGGACTTCGAAACAGCTCTTGCTCGGCTGAGGGACTTCTCTGTCCCAAAGAACATGTTAAATACCATGAAGGAGGTATGGATTTTTGAGCCTGATATAGTCTGTATACTAATAAATCTCAAAGTACATCATATCGGACTTGAAGACCAAACTTAATCTTCCAGATGCTGAGATGTCCAGAGATGGACTCTCTCCAAATGATTTGACCATCCTTCTAACACAGCTCTGGTGTCGGGACTTTAAGGAATACCGCGGCCAGTATCCTGACCGGAGTAGAGTACAACTTACTGCATTGATACTACTTTATTGCTTTTTGTCCGCTCGAACTGGAGAGGTGCATGAGTTAACAGCTCGCCGATCTATTGCCCGGCAGAAGGACAGCAGGGACGACAATGACGCGAATCTCCAAGCCAGTGCCATGGCTGCATGCTACAAGGTCCGTATCCAGCTATCTGTATTTGACCAAAGGCTTATAAGACTCATGGCGCACAGCATTTTATCCTCACCATAGAGCTGGTTGATGGTATTCCGATGTTGGTGTTGACCTATGCTCGGGAGTTCGTAAAGGGGTACTGGAGAATGAAAAAATGGGAACCTCCAGTACATGCTTTCTACGAGATATACAAAGAGGAAGTCCCACTCTTTTTTAACTTAATTCTCTTCATACTTCCATTGTTTTCTGCTGACCGTGCTTTCCGCCATTATAAATTATATATTGAGATCCTTGAGGAACTGGACTCCATAAAGCTCAGCGATTTGGAGTCACAAAGAAACCACGTTATCTCCCGGATCCATTTCCAAAAAGATCGTTTGGATACTCTGGTGTTTAGGCCGTTCAGCAAGCTGAATTGTGAAACCTCCACTAGTAGGGCAAGAGGTGCCAATGCGTTTGGAAAAGAGTTTGCTGCCCTTGGGTATCAGAGCAGGTATGAACAGAATATTACTGCCCGTGCGTGTCGTTGATGGGCCCTGATGGAAGCCAGTAGGAAATACTCTAATCCAGTACTGCCGTCTGAGCCACTCATGTTTCTTAGATAAGAAATACTCCCAGATAGCTTGGATGAAGCATGCCTCTCACAATAAAGCACGCACTTTTGGCCGGTCATACGCGCATCCTGTGTGCGAAGTGGATGGGCCCGCAACCTACTTGAATATTGCGTCCCGTCATGAGCATATTCAAAATCGACATAGCATGGGCATACACCGTAACCCAAATCTGTGGCAATCTCTACCTGTAAAGGCGGAATTTGAATTCCAGGAACGAGAAGACATTATGGCACTTAACACAGAATTCGCACTCCTTAGCTCCCAACTTGCGAAGGCCGACAACCAGGAAATAGCACATGAGATTCACCTGTAACGACGTCGAGTCCAGAGCTAAAAGGATAAGCTGTATCTTGAGGAACTTAAATGACAAAGGGAGGTCCAACAGGGTACTCAAACAGGAAGCGTCTATAAACAAACTCTCTTCCACTACCGCCGACGAGCTGTGCCAGAGCGGGACCTCCTCGCTTAGGTTTTGCCAACTAGGTCAACTATACAAAGCTCAGCCAGGCTGGATGCTATGAAGGCACTGGAAGCAATCTGCAGCCAGTACCATCCGGTTGCCTATCGATCGGGTCTACAACCAGTCAATGGCAGATGCGTATGTGGTGAACCAATAGATAGGTAAGTATTTCATCTCCGTATGCACCACCTGCGCTGACCTGTTAGATTTTATGCCCATCGTCAATGGCTTCATCTCTATCGTTGCTACCGTAAGAAGCTTCGTCAAATGAGCGTTGATGATTTTGCGGAGTTCTGCTACGAGTGCGACCTGTGGTTCAACAGTCAGAATGAATGGCGTTAGTATTGTCAGGATCATCTCAGCAGACCTGGCGAACTACTTCGTTGCGATCCGATTATATTCCGAAATTGCCCAGTCAAACCTGGCTACTGCCCTTTCTGTCTGGGCAACACGAGCCTAGGGCCAATTCAACAGATGGAGCAATATCTGGATATGAGCACGTGGTACGACCATGTTCATTCTCACCTTAGCCACCGGGATCTGTCCGGCGAGTTTCATTGCCGGCACCCCGCATGTACACAGGGATATGGGTCCTTGACGGAACTCGCATGTCATCTTGAAGATGTCCACTGCTATAAGCCTCCTCGGGGAAAGAAGCGATCGTTGGAATCATGAGCGTGGGTGGTGCCAGATGTTGTGCTTGGTATTCGTATGTTATATTGTTTGTCTAAATGATCTTGGATTTTCTTTTCAGCCAAGTAGCTTGTACCGGTAGTTCTTGTGGGCGACTGAATGATAACGAATAGGAAATACTAAAGCCCCTCATACGCATCGGCTGCCTTCCATGAAGCGTTTGGAAACTTAATAACTTTGGAATACGATTTCTGGGATGGTTAGCTTCTGTGAAGAAAGGGAGGCAGCTTGGGAAATAGGATGCAAGATGGTGACATAGGTTTGAAGTTAACTGCGTGCCATTGACTATATTTAGACGCACATCATTTGCTCTAGTAGTGTGTGTATAATTGGACTGAATTGTATTCACAAGCGAAAAAGAACTAGAAAAGAACTAGAATCGTCTCATTTCCTGCCTTCACACCTTCAGTTCTCTTTCTCAGATCATTAGGGTTAACACATATGCAGCAAGGCCTTTAATATGATACGCTATTAGCAGACCATATATGAAGTCTGACGTTATCAGCCTCCATGATCTTTTTGCATTCCACAAAAGTACAGCACAATTCCCACCGGCGACATTTCCATGGCATTCTTGACTTTGGCCCGTCGAGCTGGCCAGCAGATTCAGTGATCAGGGTCATTTGCTCAGCCTCTGTCACGATCCCCTTTTCATCACAGCAACCAGCACAGACAGTGTGGATGTGAATACTGCGTTTAGAGCGGATCAAGTACGAAAGGAATGTTTCCATATTTGCAGCCGATCGAACATAAGTAGGCTTCCAATCGCGTTGTTCTGACGCCTTGCAGCGGAGACAAGCCCAGGTTATCTGACCCATTATTCTAGGTACAATTAGTGGCGGTAGTTCACTTAGGGGTGATATCTCACCTCATGTAGAGTTAGGTTCAAAATCACTGTGAAGGACGCGCAGGCGTGGGCAAGAGAACAAGCGAACCACTAGGATAACTGAGCTTTTTATATTAAATACATCGTAGGAAAGGAGTCAAAGGACACTTATAGACTTATCAACAAAGCGCTTTTGTTAAGTACTGTCTGAATATAACTGCTCAATGGTGGTCCGGTGGAGCTATCTGTGTTTTCATTCGGTCTAGTGATTTGAGCGAACCGTTCACGCGTACCTATCTATACATATATTCCATTCATACTCTAGCCCATCTTCGGATCCTTAAGCGCAGCAATTTTAATTTACTTAATAGTCGTGGTGCCATCATTTATACAACAAGCCATGCATCTGCAGCAGCTGATGGAGGAGGAGTATCACCCTGTCATCAGAAAAGGAAAAAAACACTTAGTACTAGTGTTTTACAATCTTCCGATTCGCCGAACGGAAACCCTTACGGCAAGCCATTGGGACAAAACTGAAATAACGACTTTAGGACTTTAGGATATGCAGACTTTCATGGTTTTCTGCCGGCAATAAAATTTGATTTCGTACGAAACAATAATTATTAGTAGAACATTTAATTTCTTCGACATCCTCCTCATCAATTAGGTCATCAAGGTCATCAGCATTGTTATTCGTACGGGGATCTTCTTTAACATTGTCCTTAATAATCACAGGGTCATCGGCATCATTGTTTGTATGGTGAACTTCTTCATCTTTGTGACTTCGTCATCATCACTAAAGAGACGATCTTATGATATTCGTACGGAGGGGGAGGGTTATCAGGCTTGTGAATTGATATAGTAGAGTGAAAATGAGGTAATGAGATTCATACAAGATAATTAATAGTCTTAGTAGTTATAAAGAAGTCTTTGTTCTGTTCGTACGAAAGAAGACATTCACTGTTGAGACAGTCTCAGTATATATAAAGGAGTCTTTATTCTATTCGTACGGAAAGAGGAGATAGTTTATTATCTATATTAAGTCTCTCTTAGCAGTGAATGTCTTTAGATTCTGTGCGATTCTTCACGACATCGTGATGACCTCGTTAATGAAAATCTCTTAGAATATATGAAGACCCTTAACCCCCTTCCCCCTTCTGCTCTCTGTTCTTCTCTTTTATTCATGATTCTCCTCGTTTTTTCACATTCCATATCACTATCAACTTCTCGTACGAACTCTCCTACTGTATCACCAAGTATCACCAAGCTATCACCATGTCCACAACTCCTAACGATCCTGGCCCCTCTGAGAATGAGCCTAATGCAGCTGAAAACTCCCATTGGACGGCACACATAAAACTAGGCCTCCCCCTGGCCTCTTGTAATGGCGGAGCCTCTCGAGCTGGACGATACTCTGGTAATGGACCAAAAGCGCCTTCTTTGGCATCTCTGTCTTGAAACCACATATGGTGGACAACCATCCTGTTTGCCTAATACCCAGCTAGGGACATTCCCTTTAAGAAGTAGGCCACAAGTCAACTGCCAAAAATGGCTGCAGTTGAGGGCCTAGGTTTGCCAGAGGCTCTGCTTGTCCGCTTGCCGTAGCAGCGAACACCTCGGTTATGTCTGGAGCTCGTTGCCCCTACATCTTTAATATCCACCCCTGTTGGTCCGCCTGGGGTCCCTGTCCTCAGGATGGCCAAAACCATCTTCTTCTCCCGCACGGAGCTTTCCAACATGCGCATGTAAATATTTTCCTACTCAGGGGTGCACATAAGCTAGGCCTTTCCCTAGGAGGGATGACGTGGCGCTGCCTAGTGCTCTGAGAAAGCGCTTAAGATGAGGGTTTTATTGGATACCACCTCATGTTGGGCTGGTGGCTGCGCATTTAAGGGGTCTTCGATCTGGACACTGTCCTAATGATGTTTCAGAGGCATTACATAATATTATTAGACATGTCCAAAGTGGAGGCTGTGTACGAGTGTAACTATAAGAGCATAGCCGGCCACGAAAATGATCCTTCACTCGAGAGTTGGCTCCTGACTACATCATCACGAACGACAGTGATTTCTCGTTTATATCTGAGCTTCATCCTTCCTGACTTACTAAGGAAATACTATGGCAGAAGTATTTGGGATTGTTGCGGGAGCTTTTGGCGCTTGTTCACTGGCGCTTGAGTTACTGGAGGTCACAAAATCTGCACAGCGTTATTGGCGACGCATCCATGACCTTTCTTCCATTTCCACAGAAATCTCGGACAGCCTCGGGAATATTGAACGACTTCTCACGGCTATCAGGAAGTTGGCTATCCAAGAGCCTAGAGATCATGATGTAATCGCATGTTTGGAACGCAGCAGACCCTCATTAGAAAGAGTCAAAGATATTATACAGAACGTCGAGGCAAGCGGGGCCAACGGGAGGTTGCGAAAAATCAAAGATACGTTCAAACGCACTGCTTTGGAGGAACAACTCTCAGTGGCAAGGGCATCTCTTAGGGAGACAATAAATGATCTGTCTCTCGCTCTGCTTGTTTCACAACTGTAGGTACACCTGCCTCTACTTTGTGCGCTTGACTCTAAGTTTTAGCTGCAGTCAAACTTCTTGTCAGCAATCTTTGATTCTTTCCAATATGGAAAGAAGGCTGGATGAAATAAGGAGGGAAGATGCAGTGATTGAGATTGTTGCAAAGTCCAAATGGAAAGATGATATGGGCTCACTTGAGGGAATATGTAAGTTATACTAATACTTGGGCCATGAACTTGTGCCGTCCCTACCAGTTGCTGACTGGATACTGATTGAGCCATTGATTTAACTTCGCCCGCGAACTCTCAGGGTATTATCCGACGAAAAGATCTTCCTGGTAGCTCTTGTTACTGTCGATTCGAGACCGATGAAAGTTTGGGAGCACAAAGCAGTCAACCCGATTTCAACCAAAGTGACTATGGTATATCTCAACGTTCCTTGAGGCAGCGCACACACCACGAGGTCTACCAGATCAGAAGCCAACACTTCAATCTTTTTTGGGGAATGCTGTCAGTATCAATTCTGAGGAAGAAGAATACAGCAAGTGATTCCAGCAAAAGGCAAGAAAACTCATACGCAGAGATAAAATTCAGATTTGCTCCTTGGCCGTTCATCTGCAAAGCGTTTATAGCAAGGCTATATGCAAGTACGACTGGAGGACTGAACCTGTCGCAGAACCTAGCAACAGTGCAAATCGTCCCAAGATACGAGGGGATATTTCTTAATGTCTGTTGTGGCGAAGTCGGAACAGTGAGGAAAACATTTGAAGAGAGAAAAGCTTCGCCGAACAGTGCAGACAAGTATGGGCATTCATTAATTGCTATGGTGAGAATATCTAACCTTGGATTCTATCAAAAAGTAGGCTAACATGATTCTTTGTCTTGAAGGCAGCTGGGAACAGCCATCTTGAACTGGTCCGTTACTTCCTTGACCTTGGAGTAAATACTCAGATTGTTGATGATGATGGAAGGTAATTTTCCTAAGTCTGCAATCGCTTTCCTATAATACTAAGAGACGTTTACAAAACAGAAATGCTTTGCAATATGTGTGTTACCTTCGAGGAGGTCCACTCGATAAAAAAGATTGGGAAATTTTACGTTTGTTGATGGAGAAAGGCCAAATTGATCCTTGGACACCTGACTTTACTGGTCAAAACCTTTGGCACACCTTCTGCCAGGCTTGTCAATCAAGCACTGATTTTCCATGGAGGTCAATGGCGACTGAATTCTTACCAATCCTGGATGATCAAGACTGCTTTGGTCGCACCGCTCTCTTCTTTATGTCCTCGAATGCCAAGGCCAGCCTTGACGTTTTTCAATGGCACCTGAAAAACGGGGCAAGCCTGTCAGTTTCTGCGAACGGGCGTTTCCCGCAATGGGACGGACTTACCTGTCTTCATGCTGCTATCGCCTCTCTTCAGCCTCGACATCCAAGATCAAAATCCGAACCGTTCCATGTGGACTTGGCGGAGATTTTAGCCGATGTGTCCCCAACTTGGAAGGATCGAGGGCCAATTTATAATGAAGATGATCGCGTCAATCAGATAAAACGAATTGAATTGCTCATTCAGCATGGTGCTGACTTGTTCGCGGCTTCAGAATTCTATGGCACACCGACTGACGTTGCCAGATTCACTGGGAACTTCGATATTTGGATCAATTCTCTGAAAAATTGTGGAATCAATCCAAAACAAGTCTTGGCGACAGATAAGAAGATTGAGCGCAGCAAAAAGTTTTGGGTGACAGAACTTCTGGCGCGCGAACAGAAATTCGAGAAGCGGAAACTCCATCAGCACTTCAATGACATCTTCGGGGTTCTTGACGACTTTCAATTCTCGGAGAACGCGCACGGGATCAAACCCAGGGCATCTGGAGCTCTACCGGCAAATCCATTGCTTCTGAAGACGATATCGTACAGAGAGGTACTCCATATACTCCGGTCTTCCCTCTTCAACGCAATTCATCTGGACGAAGAGAATCAAGGCTTTGGTACTCGGATTCTCGCAGACGCTGAATTCTTTGACGGTGCTTACCATGCCAACTTCTTTGACCACACCTACTACAAGGGGAGCTCGAAAAATATTCTGCTTTACAACAAATTGCACCGATATCTCGAAATGGTAGCCGCCATTGCATCTGCAGATGCTGATCTTGAAGAGCTGGAGTGGAAATCCAACCACTATAAATACTATCCCCTTCTCAAAGCAATGGCTGCGTTTTATTTGGACAGAGCCTTTCGCTTTCCTCCCCGTGGCTATGATTGGAAATATATGGATGATACGAGTGAAGTCGAGCCAAGTATACCTGGGTCATGGCCTACAGGTTAGGCGGGTGAACAGGGAATAGGATGTGGGTTCTTTTGGTACAAAAACTTTATAATATAATGCCTTGCAGCCTTCGGAGTACTTGGAGAAACAGTGCATATTGGTCACATGTATTTTTATCGTCAACCCACTGAATTTGGGTTATATGAAAGAGGTGGTCAAAGGTATTGTTGAGATAGATGGCATCATCTAGGCGAGGGGAGGGAGGTCTTTTATACCACAGTAGATGTCGGGCAACTAGCGGAGGGCGGTAAAAACGGCCAGGGAAGGCGCTACACCGGGAGGGGAAGGGTGATGGCGGCGACAGGCAGGCGGTGGTGGACGGCAGGAAAGCGGTGCAATGGGAGCCGGATCTGGCGCCCCGCTTGCCGTCTTGTAGAATACTCTTTATAGTTATATGTATCTATAGTATATAATGTAGAACACTATCGTACGAGGGTAAAAAACTATATAGTGTGATTAGTACTATAGATATATATAATAAATAATACCATTGTACGATTATAGAGGACTTAGTAGTAATGTAACTCCTATTCCTAAATACATAATAACACTCAAAATAACAGTAATACTTGTGTGAATAAACTGACAGCTGCCCACTACCCAACCTTATCGCCCAAACTCTGCAATACGGTCAAGGTCTTCCTGTTTTATGGGACCCTGGTTCCTCGTACGAACACCAACAGAAGCCAGAATTTCATCATACTCCTGTATTGCAGAAGTAATGATATCTTCTTCCTCAGTCTTTATCTCAGTATTTGCCACTGAGAATGATCGTTTCTTTGTTGGCTGTCGTACGGCAAGTTCAGATTTAATCTCAGGAGTTGGTTCAGTCTTAACCTTTGACCTCTGCTTTGGCTCCTTCTTGATCTTCTTCCTTTCTGGCTTCTCATCAGGTTGTGTAGGTAGTGGATCAGATATAGCCTGACTTGACTGAGACTCTCGTACGATAACAACATAGATGAGAGAAAGGCTGTTTGTTGAACCAGTGCGGTACCATTCTGATAGGAGATCCTCAACCTGTTGTTGAGTATCAGAACTTTGAGAGATATATGTGACCTCACTTCGAGCTTGAATAACTGCAGTTGCTAGGCGGAGTTGATCAGAAGGCTATCGTACGAAGTTGCAACTCTTGCTTATCCCATGAAGCAGGTCATTCACGATAAAGTCTTCAAAAGACTTAATCGTACGAGGCTTAAGCTTAATTGCAACTCGATCTAATCTAATATTAGTTGTTATAACGTAATCCACGGCCGAGCGGCCATTACGACCGAACGGCCACTTTTCTTCGCACCCTACTTTTTTTTGATGCATTTCGAACACCAACGCAATTAATTTAGATTATCTAGTAGCTGATTATCTAGCTATTTATTAGGACAACTTCTTCTATTATGTCCAATAGTCCAACATCCACTGCACCGTGGTGGAGCGCGCTGGCGAGTCCCAGAAGTAGTATCCTCGACCTGCTCCTTAACATGCGTATCAAGCTGCTGAATGCGATCGCGACCTTCCTGTACAGATATAAAGAGGTTGCTTCCTAAATTAGCACGCGTCCTTGCTTTTTTCTTCAATTTTCGCTCATTTTCAGCTCGTAGAACCTTGATTTCTTGTTGAAGAAGATGGTTCATATGCATTGCCATCTGTGCGGCCTTTTCAAGATGGTGAATATGCGACATAGGACTGCTAGAAAGCGTTCTTTTCCTTTGAAGACTTCTCTGTAGGCTGCGGACTTTGTGATCAAGCTGGCGAGGATTCTGAGGTGTTTGAAAAGCAGATGATATTGAACCTTCAACAAGAAGTGGTGGTGTAGGCGTACGAAGTTGAAAGGTAATTTTCTCAAGAACCCGGTCTTGATCAAGTGGTTTAAGCCCAGCTCCTGCGAAGCCATTACATACATTCTTTTGAGTAAAGACTGCTTCACGTGCGGGAGGGTATAGGTATAGGAAATCCTCTTTGTCGATGTGGTTGTTTCCAGCCACCATCATTCCCTCAACCAGTTCTCCGTACGCCCGTTTAAGCGGCCCGAAAACACCAACGTCTAGTGGTTGAAGAAGATGAGATGTATGAGGAGGCATGCAAAGACAGATAATTGCATTCGCCCTGCAGAATTCATCAAACTCTGCAGTTTGGTGACTTGAATGGCCATCAAGGATTAGCAAACGCTTTGCACCAGTTGAATGTTGTTTAGAAAAAGGCTCAAAAACATGCTTCAACCATGCAAGGCTAATTTCATCTGTTGTCCAGCCATTAGCACTATTAGTAAGCCTCTAATCTGGCGGAAGATTGGGTTCTTGGTACCAAGGTGCCTGGTGTTCTTTTCCCTTCAAGATGACCACTGGAGGTATAGAAATCCCCTTAGAGCTCATGCATTCAATGATTGTGACCCATTCACGGTTTCCCTGAATAACTGTACGAGGTCTTTCACTGCGCTCTACTGCAGTAATAACCTTAGAGGTTGTACAGAGTCCCATTGCAAAGCCAGTCTCATCAAAGTTCCAGATATCATCTTTATGTATGCCGTGCTCCTGAACAGCTTCGTGTACGGTCTCAAACCACTGTTTTATGACCTTTGGGTCCTCCTGCTTCGCACGTTGATATGTAATTCTTCGATTATATCGTGTACGTAGTTCAGGACGGCGCTTTGTAAAAGAATAGGCCCAGTTAATTCCAAGGGTCGCAGTAGAATCTTGTGTACGTTCACGAAGCAAGATCTGTCCCATTTCACGCAGAAATCTCGGCTGAATTGAGAAGCCTCGTTTATCTGCATCAAGCAATTTCTTGATAAGAGCTTCTTCTTCAGATATTGTCAATTTATGGCTATTGGCGCGTGTTTCTGAGCGTGGCTTTCTTCCTTCAAGGCGAGCGCGAAGGGTAGTACGGGATACTTCAAATACACCAGCAGCTTGAAGTTTTGATTTGACTTTTTGCTTTTTATATGCAGAAATAGCCATCTGCATACGGCTTCCTTTAGATAAAGGCATTTTACATAGAAATAATGAAAAACTGACGCGTATTGGAATGTTGATTTCGAATATTTTGATGGTTGCGGAGAAAAGTGGCCGTTCAGTCGTAATGGCCGCTCGGCCGTGGATTACGTTATTAATATATAAAACTAGGATTGATAACATACCAATTAACTTGCAGCTTGAGGGTGTAAAAAACCCATCTTCACCTTTAACCTGTGTTAAAAGGAAGAAAGCAGCACTTGCACTAATAGTAAATCCAGGAGTTGATTCCTGACTTCCTTTCTTCGTACGAGTAATTGCAGCTTGACGTAGTTGTTCTGCCCCATGCGCACGATTAAAGAGGGCAAATTTTGGGGTGGCAAAGACTGTTGTTGCTTTTGGTGGAGATGGTGAGTCTGGAATTTGAATAACCTCAGAAGTAGATAATAAAGAAGAGCGTGTCATTAGACAGGAACCACAGGATAAAGCATCATGGCGATGCCCTGTCTTTGGACAAAAGGGTGTCCACTCAGGGGATGCCATTAGGTGAAGAGTTTTTTCAGTTTTATCTTTTTTTCAGTTTTGTACGAAAATGGTGAGATATTTATATATAACCTCTCGCACGACTTGCTAAGAGTACTCTGAGTATATTAAAGAGCGGTGTATTAGTGTCCTTTATGCAAAGTTAAGATTCCACTTTACTACTACTAAATAGGAAGTTCAATACCATTGCCTATAGAGAAGAATTAATAATAAACCATGTTCATACAAAGCTAGGTTTCTACTTATTATTAAATAACAAGTAAGAATCCAGGGATAGTACCATATCATGGAGCAGGATAAGCAATTATGGGTCGTACGAAGATAAATTGATAATAGTCATTACTCATTAGACTCACTAGTAACCTGTACTTCCTCAATTTCCTGGCCTGGATTCCAATTAAAAGCCCCAGTCGGCCTTTTTGATAGGCAGAGAACAGGCTCAAGTTGTTGTTGGATATGCATTAAAATCCTCGTACGGAGTCCCATATAGACTTCCCGGTAAGGGGTAAACACATCTTCATTTAGAAGATGAACAGGTGCCATAGGATTAAAGTTCATCTCCTCTAACTGCCTGGTTACCCAGTTATAAGTCACTGGAGGGAGGTACTCATCAGGATCTATCGTACGAAAACTATTAGTATATAGTTATACTTTAGGTAGAGTACTTATAAACTTACCCCATTCTGCAACATCCTCATGCAACGTACGGAGAAGATCACGATCAAACTTTAGACCATGATCTTGAACACCCTCAGGAGGATAGTGATAGTTCATGAATGGCTTCCCATGTACTAGGTGTGGACGAAGCTTTTGTTTGCGAATAGAATGATTATTCCATGTTCGTACGAATGATGTGATCTCAGTTCGAAGAATTGGCATATAGACTGCTAATAAGGCAATCTGATCAGCAACTGAGTCATGAGAGTAAACACCCTGCTCCTGAAGAGTATGGAAATAATTCTATATTAATATTAGCATGATATGTTTCGTACGAGAAGACATAACATACTGTCGTGGTCTACGCAAAGGTAGGTACCAGTATGGTGTGTTGTAAGAGTCTACTTTGCTATCTCTGCTACTGTATCCGTAGATATAAACATGCTTCGGTAAGGTCAAGGCTGGTAAGCGCTGTCGGGGTAAGCGCTGTCGGGAATACCAGCATGATACAGTATGGAGATAGGAGACACGACACATACCCTCCATCTAAATAATAATCCTTTGGTTAATTGAAGCCACCAGGCTTCAATCCTTTGATTTGATGTACTTGTGCCATAAAGATAGCATTCAGAAATTGTTATTTCTGGATGCAATGATCGCTGAAGCTTATGATGAGCTTCTGCTAACAGAACAGTTCCTGTGCCTCGGTCAGATCGTACGAATCGAGGTTGTAGTTGAGCAACCTCTACAACATCAAGAAATTGTCGTAACACACTGACTGCCGTACGAGCTGTAATTCCAACATATACCCAAATAATATAGCGGGAATATGCATCAATAGCAGCATAAACCTCAATACCATATGATGCAAGTTTTAAGTACCCATCAATTGACCAAATAAAATTTGGTCCTGGCACAATATAAGCACCTCGATGTCGCTGTAGGTCTTGGAGTCGTCTTCGTACGGCAGTTGGTGAAAGTTGACGGTATAATCTAAAGAGGCGATCCCTAAGAAAATATAAATTAGTAAATATTAGAGCCTTTTATTGGTGACCTCACGCAGTCAAGATGGACAGTGTGTGTGTAGTTTGGCCGCAACGGGTCACCTGTCGCTGCGGTCTTGCGCGTAAACGCGTTAGACCGTAGCGTCAGAGAGGGCCCAATGACCCGGGCCAAACTAGGATGGTGGAGGGGACGGTGGTGGAACCGGCAGAGATAGCGGAGCTGGCGAGCCTGTCTGAAATTGGTGGTTGAGCTTGTATAAGACCGACGCGTTCGTTGTGAAATACACCCTGAATGCCTCCGAGGTCCATCTCCCAAGAGCCTGAATCTGGTCGTCAAGGATTCCACTGTCATGCGCATGCTGCGCTGCACCCTTCCGAAAACTGTGGCCTGAGTAGCCGTCCGTCCGTAATCCGAGTGCTCTCAGCTTAGCCGATAAGGTAGAGAGGAAGTTGCTGCGACTAAATGGTCTTCTGTGGAAGGAGAACAATGGGGCGTTAGGTCCTCTGGGGTCGAGAAGGAGCAGCTTCTGAAGGGCGTCGACCGGGCATGCCCCATCTCCTGTTTTGGCAAGAATGATCTGTACTCCTTCATGGCGGCGATCCGTCTTACTCCGCTTGAGTGTGAGTTGCGCATGGTCTAATGAGGAGGAGAACCTGATGTCTGAACGCGTTAGCTTTGTTGATGAGAAGATAGAGGATGTGCCGAGGTCTTCTCTCTTGTAGGTGAATTCTCCGATGCGGAGGAATCCAGCAAATGCCACCCGGCAGGCAGTTGCGAAGTTCAAGTTGTCTTTGAGGTCTGCAGTCATCTCTGAGGACTGTAACGGAAGTGTTGCTAGGCCTGATGATAGTTTTGTAATGGCCTCACGCGAAATGGGCTTTCTGACCCGTACTTTGGTTGTTGGGCTGAGTCTTCTCGCGCCGTTGACGAGACGCTGAAAGTGTTTGTTATCAAAGAGTTTGTCGTTAAGGAAGTTATTGACATGGTAGGCTCGGAGAGCAGCTAAGTCTGCCAGTGCGGTATCTGGCTTGATTGCTTTTTGGTTAGAATTACCAAGAAGTTGGGAGGTTAACCACGAGATCAATGACTGTTTTGACGCTGGCCATGCTGGTAAGTTTTGTAGCGCGCAGTGTCTCTTGTAGTTACGCTGGACGGAGAGGTAGACGGAGTATGTATTAGCGCTGAGTCCGTTCCAGAGCAGTTTTAGATGGCCTGCATTGAGCTGATGAGCTCGCGAAGAGAACCACGTGGGCGGTTCAATACTGAGAGGTCCTGCCAGTGGGGACAAATATTAGCAACTTCTTGAAGATTATTACGGGAGAGCGCATCTGCTAATGTGTTTTCCCCGGAGGGGAGCCAACGTGGCACAATTTGGATGTCTCTCGCCGCCGCTAGGATAAGCAGGCTCTTCAAAGGCGCATTGGGCGGACCATGAAGGAAGCCTTTGCTTAGTCCCGTGTGCGCTGTGGAGCTATCCGTGTGGATAATAAGAGTGTGATGAAGCCAATGGTGGCTGAAGAGTAGGAAGCCTTGTAGAATGGCGTCTACTTCAATGGTATTGATATGCGCATGTGCGACTTGAGCAAGGGCCAATGTGGCAGCATTGCATGGATGAAGCTGGTGACAATGGGCCAGCCAGCAGTCTGATGTAGACTTTGATGAGAAGAAGAAGAGCCCCTGGCCTGTAGTGGAGGCATCTGTGTAAAGATGCGTGATGTTGCGGCGGCAGGGGTCAACTAGGAGTACGCCGTTGAAGAGAGACAAGGAGTCCCTCCACCATTCCAGATCGTCATGTACCTCGTAAGGGATACGGCGGCGCGTGCGGCTCCCACGTGGGAAGATGGCCTGAAAGGTGTATAGGGACTGTAGCCTTGTTCTTCCAAGCCGGACCACTCTTGAGCAGAAGGCTAGTAAGCCTGTGAGGCTCTCTGTTTGCTTGAGGGTAAGACTCGTTGCGTTGAGGGCAGCTGCGGCGTCCAATGTGGCGTGGCACAGCTTCTCTTGTGGCAGACGAGCTTCCATCGCGATAGAGTCTATTTGGATTCCTAGGACTGTAACGCAAGTCCCTTGCTCGTCCTTTCTTGTGTTGCGAGGGATGCTTAGGTAGTCGGTTACCATGTGGTAGACTTCGTCGAAAGCACCTGCAGGATTGGACATTGAGGGAGAATGTGTGACAGCGATGAAATCATCTAGATAATGGTTGATGTAAAATACGGGAAGGAGGCACTGGAGTATCCAGTGGAGAGCCTCTGCGAAGAGGTTGAAGAGAAATGGAGCTGTTGCCAGGCCAAAAGGGAGGCAGCATTCGACGTAGGTGGAGTCGTTCCACTGGAAGGCTAGGAGATGCTGGTTGTCCTCGGCAACGGGGACTATTCGGAAGGCATCCTTAATGTCTCGTTTGATAATTGTGCAACCAGGTCCTGCCTTTATGATTTGGTCGTATATATCATCGATTTTCATGTATTCGATAGCTGACCAGTTGTCTGGTATGCCCTGGTTAACGCCTCGCCCAGGGGGCCAGGATAGGTCATGGATGCGGCGCCATCCCCCATCGTGCTTGGGGACAAGTCCGATCGGCGAAACAAAGGAAGGTTTAGAGGCCAATCTAACCCGACGGAGGTCAAGGTCCTCTGCTAGCTTTCCCGTGATAATGCTGGGTTCGTGTATATAGTGGTTGGTGGAGTAACAAGAGTGTTTCTTGCCTCTGTAGCTGATCTGGACGCCGTAGGTCAGGATGCCGGCAAGAGTTGGTCCGAGATCGCCGGGATAATGACGAAGGAGGTTGCGCCATCTCTGTGCATGAAGCGGCGAAGGAGAAGGCTGCAGTTTCGGGAGTTCTGTGTTGAAGACAGGGTATTGGGCAACTGTATTGGGCCTCGCTGGTTGGCCAGAAGGTCTTTCTGTTGGCGGTAAAAAGTAGGAGGCTGTCCCGGCGTTTTCTCTCCTCACCACTCGATTTGCTTGCTATTTTTTCTTGCGGCAAGACGAGGCACCGTGCTCGCTTAACCCGCATGCTGTACATTCATGGTGCCTCTTGCAGCCTTCCCAGAGGCACCCCGTCGTGTTGAACTTATCGCAAACCTCTGTATTATTGTTCGAGGATCTGGTAGACCTTATATGGCGAGGTCGGGCTGCTGAAGGGTGTGGTGGTGACTTAGCTGGTAGAGTGAGGTTGTGGCGGAGATATTTCTCGCGAAACTGGGCCGTGACTAGGTAACTGTCTGTGGACAGCTCTCCGACCACGGTGGTCTCAGAGATTCCACATGGGTAGTGGGACAGTCGTAGGGAGCAAGAGAGATCTTCAACTCAGAAGCTAATAAGATCCCCAACATCGAGGCTCAACCAGTTAGGTTGAAACCGTGGCTGTCCGTCGCTAACCCTAACGTGAAATGTCTGGTGTTCCCCAAGGGCGGAGGCGGTTGGGGTCACTGGGACCACGCTAAGATCAGCTTGGGCGAAGTGCGCGCGGAGCGTGAGGATAAGGCCTATGATGAAAATGATCATGATGACAGGCTGGGTGGTCGCTTAATGATGACCTCAGTAGGCAGTTATATATCACTGAGATAATTCAGAAATTACAATATCCCGTTTGCGACTTTCTAACTTTTGACACCAAATAGGTCCAGCGGCAACAGCTGACTATTTTTAGAGCCTAAACTACTATATATGCATGGTGCACACATGAGCCCACCAAGTTAGCAAGCAACAGAAAATGTCCACCCCAGCGAACAGAAAGCGAGCATTAGAACGGACCACCTGCCGTTAGGAATTATCAGACCATCTGAGTATGTCTTTCTAGACTGTCGTCTTGTATCCCCCACACTAACATATAAGAAAACACGCTCTCTATCTCAATACCCCCATCCAACATACGGCTCCATCCCCTTCCAAGCGACCCCTATAGATGGCAGTATAGTGAGTGCTACAGTCACATATTCGAGAGGAACCTTAGCGATCTCTCTACCAACAATTACATTGAAATTCCCATGGCACTGCGGAATTGCTATATCTGGGCAGTGAAACACCTCGATTATAATGAGCGAACACTTCCAGATTCACATGAAAAAATCGCAAACAGGGGACTTCAAGAAGAATTGGACAAAATGAAAAGGGAACGAGATCGTCTCCAAGGTGAAAATGAGCAGCTCAGGAAGGTTCTTCATCTGCACATCAAAAGGTCAAAAATCTTCTGCGTCTCTATGTCAAAAGCTGAGGAACAAGCACGTTCAGCGGTTAGACAGCTCAAGAAGGCGTTGGATCATGATTATAGGACAGCATAATCTCCTGTATTTATATCGTCCAAAGCAATACCATATGAAAGAAGCAATTGAGTCTCAGAAGCAGCGAGCTTTTCAGATACACGGTTCAGTGATGCATGAATATTGGCTACAGCTCTTTTTGTGGTAGAGGAGAGCAATATGAATACATTCAGTAGCGCATGTTGCTGTGATGCCAAATGTAGCGTATCCTGTATTAATTAATATACTTCGCTTCGCGCACATCACTGAATAACTTCATCAAAGACACATGCGCCTCCTGATGAAATGTAATCTCCTGTTGAAGACGCCCAATTTCCCGCTGGAGGTCAGGTATTGTTAAAGCAGGGTGAAGCTTGGACTGCTTCAAATAACTAGGTAGCCGTTCAACATTTACAGTTATATAACCGTTCTGCAAAATAAAGTGGTCAAGAGCAGTGATTTCTGGGATGTCTATTATGCACAGAGTGTAATAAAGAAACAGAGCAGATTCCCATTCTTCTAGATAGACATGGCGAAGATTTAAGTAATAAACCACTGCCACTCCAAAGCCCGGCCAGTGGGCACTTCAAGAATGCTCATTCGACCCTTCTGTACCTTGGTACCACCAACCTAGTTTTGACTGGCTCCTGTAAATGCGATGGTGACTCAGAGCTGGACCTTAAAATCAGGAAGTCATCATTGGTTCTAGTCCGTGGATGCGCCAGGGCCTGTTCATTTATAGTTCATGATCTACAGCACCATTTCAACGGGCCTCACCTCTCTGATAGCAGGTACATCATCATGTGTCTTGAAAATCCATTGATGGTTCATATTATCAGTCAAGACTACCACCGCGCTTATGTCAAACTCGTTGCAGAGTTGGCGAAGTTTGCGGAAGACTGTTCGGCGCCGTCAGCCTTCCGATGATTTGGACGTTTGTAGTTCCATGATGAAGAAGAGCGGTATTACTCCTTTGCAATTTTCTATCATTGTGGAAAGGTGCACATGAACTAAAGAAGAAGCTAGACGGAGCACGACCTCACTTTATATATTATTTAGTTGTCGTGGTGGCGCCCACGAATGTTAAAAATGGCAAGGCAATATCGTGGGCGCTTCTAAGGAAACCTTTCCTGAAATTAGTATCCTTAATCACCCACGAGTTCAGCACCAGATGCAACCTATATTGAGGGACAGGCGCCTGAGAATTGTATTGGAGTCACTAACAAGATCCAAAAATAGCTCTCATAATGCCCGCGATCTCTAAAAATAAACAGAGAACTCGGCCAGTCTTTCCTTGCCCATTATATATATTCTCAGGAATCCTCGCTACCAAATTACCAAAAACAAGAAGGAAAAATGAATCCATCTCAATTATACGCATCTGCCATGGGTGGTATCATTATGTGGCTGCTGGTGTCTCAAATTATCCGTGTATGGGCCCAACGGCAACACTGGCCGCTGGGCATTGTCCGGCTGGGTAGATACCTCTACCGCAAATTTATTTTCTTCCTACTCAGGCACCTTATTTACCCCCAAGTATTTCGTACTTGCTCGAGATACTGGGTCCTAT